TCCCCTTTAACCCATGCATGTCAGGAGAATTGATAGGGAACAACACAGTAAAGAAAGTGAATACCAGACTGAAGTTCCTCTACAGACAAGCAGTGTCTACCTACTGAGGCTCGCAGGACCCTATGTCTAGCCCTTATACAATGTCATATGTCCTACGCTTGCACTTCATGGTACTCTGCCTTGACCAAAAAAACTGAAAGATAGACTGCAAATCACCCAAAACAAAATGTTATGATTCATCCTGGACCTGGATCCAAGAGAACATGTAGGCCAGGATGAATTATAACAATTGGATATGCTGAATGTTGACGACAGAGTAAAACAACTGAAGTTAAATCAAGTTTATAAAACTGCTCAGTGTCCAGAACATCTTGTTGCCAATTTTGTCAAGGCTGGGAACCAAAACAATCCTAGTACTAGGGGGGAGAGAACACAACTTTGTAGTACCCAGTCAGTGGCCAGGTTTCAAACACCTTTTATTGTACAGCAATAAAGCTTCAAACACCTTTTATTGTACAGCAATAAAGGAATGGAACAGACTGCCTGCACATGTCAAAACCAGATGTAGAAGAGCCAAAAGGTGCCTGATGAATGTAGCGACAGAAAGGGAGGAGAATGATTTTTTTTTTTTTTTTTTTACCTAACACACATATAAATGTAAATAACTCTTTTTACCTTATTCCTAGTATATCTCCTTTATTGTATAATAATAGGATATTATCTCCTTCATAGTATAACAAGGTATTAAAAGGACCCCAGTGGAAATAAGTCACTTCGTCTGACTTTGTTTGGGATGTTTAGAGTCCCCACGACTGCGGCATCAAATTATTTACGTCGAATTTGGCCGTGGAATTTTTTTTCCTAATAAATTTCCGCAATTACTGGATGCCTCCAATATAATAAAAATTGTGTATTCATGTTATCATATACTAGTATCATAATTTAGTTTAAAGGTTGCTCGAAATGCCTTTCATAATAAGTGGTTTTCTGTAAAGTAATTTATATATGTCGGTCACAGTAATTACAGTGGAACCCCAGATTTTGGCTGTAATCCATTCCAGAAGGTCGGCCTAAATCCGAAAAGGCCGAAAACCAAAGTAATACACCTACCATCCCACTTACGACCTGCTCGACTTACGACCATGTTTTTTATGCCAAATTTCTGGGAAATAAACAACTATTTGTGTTGTACACAGTGTTTATCCTAAACCTTACAGTATAAAATACAGTACTAACAACATAAAAAGTAAAGTAAAACATGAAATACCAAAATAAAACAATAAAATAAAGTCATTACAAAAATGTTTTGTTGATATTCAGTAGTAAAGTTCAACTTACGACCGGTTTCTCGGAACCGAACTCGGTCATAAGTCGGATGGTAGGTGTATTTCCCTTAACCCTTTGACTGTTTCAGGCCCCTTTCTGAAACTCATTCTATGTCGCTAAATTTTTGAAAAAAAAAAAAAATTATTTTTTCTTATGAAATGATAGAGAATCTTTTCCCGATGGTAATGACACCAAAAGTTCGAGATTTGGTCGAAAACTCATGGAATTACACTCCCGCGAAGTTAGCGGTCTCGGCGATTTCGCCGACTTTGAGCCCTATTTTCAGCCAATTCCGTTGTTCCAGTTGACCAAACTCATAGCTATTTCTTTAGAACTCCATTTTATCTATCCGCTGAGTACAAGAAACCTCCCATTTACCAATTTGGACTACCCAATATTGTGGTCAGAAATTGGCAATTTGGCCAATTTCACACAAACTAAAAAAGATGCCAATTTCAAAATAGGGTCCAGAATAAACAAGGTAGACATTCTTGGCACTAAAATAACATATCCTCTGTTCATTAGTCACATCTCTAGGCCCCTCTTATATTATTATTGCTTTCTATTTTGATTTTTTATTCATACAAAAAAATACAAAATTTACTGTTATGCAGACTACTGCATTATTGTAAAAATGGTATAAATAATATCAGTGCACTAGTGAAAGAATATTAGACTCCCCAGTTGACGTGTATTGGACGTGTGGTGTGATTTGTTTACTCCTGAACATTGGTAAAAATCGAACATTTCCGCTACTTTGAGCTCAGTTTCAAGGTCGTTTTCATCGTCAAAGTAATGAAAATCATCTCTATTTCTGTAATATGTTTACCATTTTATCACCTAAGACCATGAAAACGCAAATACATCGATAAATACTATACGAAAATACACCTCAAAGTCGGCGTTTTAATCCAAAAAAACTATCAGTTTTTTTTTCTCATTACGCACTGTGTGCTGCAGGATTTTTTTTATGTGGTGCACACTGACCACACAGACCCATTCTCTCACATGTGGGCCTACCAGCTTTCTTCCGCTTGATTTGAAGCCGCTAGAATTATTGAGTATATATACGTCTGAAACACTGGCTCGTAAGACGTATATATACGACCAAAACAGTCAAAGGGTTAAGAATTAATGCAAATACAATTAATCCATTCAGACACCCAAAAATACATTTTTTTAAAAATTAACTATAATTTTACATACAGAAAACAAATTTTAATGATAATGAACATTACATACCTTTATTGAAGACTCGTTGGAATATTGAAGGCTGCGAAGAGGAGAGAGGGTGTTGGGGTTATTGTTTGGAAGGGGAATCCCACTCCATAAGGACTTCAGATATCAAGTCCCTATCCAGGGTTACTTTCCTTCTTTGTCTTTTACTGGCACTAGGACCAACTTGAGTCGCTGCACCCGTCGCACAATAAAACTGTCTAGAGAGATCTGTTTCTGGCGTCTCTTAAGATTTGCCTGAAGTGGGACAAGGTTTTGTCACTGAATTCTATCATGTTTCTCACTCTATTTACCAAAAGGCTGGCACTAGGAACTTTCTTTGGGCCCATGATGGTTTATTTTGCAGTCACACTCGATAAACCACCACACAAAACAATGGATTATAACAAAATGTTTGGATGAATGAGCGGAGTGTTGCTCACTCACCAAGACACAGCCAGACTGATTCACGAATGCGGCGGAGTGGCGGGCGGACACGTCCAACACGGCCGATTTCTGACTTGCCGGCTGAAGTCCGGGACAAAATTTTGGCCCAAAATGCGGCCGATATCTGCACCAGTCAATATCCAGGGTTTCACTGTATAAATAACTCATTTTACCTTATTCCTAGTATACCTCCTTTATAGTATAATAAGATATCTCCTTTACAGTATAAAAATACATGTAATAAGGTATTAAAAGGACCCCAATGGAAATAAGTCACTGTCTGGCTTTCTTTTATTATCCTAGGTTCTGTACACATATGCTGCTATGTGTGATAATCTATGTAACTGTATTTGTGTATACCTGAATAAACTAACTTACTCGACCACTTGTGGCCACATCCACCTCAAAGCCACTAAACTCGGGGTCAATATCAATTTCCTCTTAAAAGGGGAGTGTTAATACAACATGACATCAGTGAATCCCTGGTGTTTGCCACGCTCTTTGCTTTAGCTGGCGCTCAATTGAACAGGTGCTCCCACAAGGTACTAAGTGGTCCCAGATTTCTTTAATACTGCACACACGGAGTGTTAAGACCCATTCTATACTGACCAGGCCAATCATCCAAAATTTGGAGGCAGGAAAAATAAAACGATCTATGTTTGGAGCACTAGTGGTAAATACGTAAATATACGTTTGGACAGTTAAGGGGTTAAGCAACTGAATTCTAATGCTGAAAATAATTTTTTTTTTTAGCACACCGAAGTAGGGCGACCCGAAAATGAAACACTTTTACTATAATTCATATTATCACTGACTTGCCAGAGGCATGCAGATACAATTTTAGATGTCCCTATAAATTACCATTTTTCTCACATTTTCAAAGATGGCAGAGAGCAAGGAGGGAGTGGATGTTAATGTTGCCAATAGCAGCAGAGCCCCACAACTGCCCTTATCACAAAAAAATGTATAACATACGTATATAGTCTGTGCAGAAAATTACGATGCCAGCTACAGGACAACCTTTTGATCATTAATATGTGGCAACAGATGGGTGAAGTCTGGATTTCCTAGAACTCTTGGAAGCAACTAAGACACCAAGTCCACAGAGGGCCTTGCAGCTTCATGAATAGCCTCATTTTCTTTTGGGTCAAACTCTGCACTATGTTCAATGAAGTACAGATGATGAAGTATTGGATGGATAAGAACGTACATTAGAAGAGGAGTGCTTTGTTCTTCACTTCATGGCTGCTCCACCTCTGGAGCAGTCAGGAAGTAGAGATCAAAATGGTACCCTCTTCTAACAGTACAGCCTCTCCTCTCTTAGCAATGTACTCGTTTACCGACCACTTGGACTTGCAACCATCTCTCCAACCAGTATGCAAACCTAGGTAATGTAGTATATTAGAGTTGATTTCCTCTATTCTGTTTATTACAATATACAGTACACTACTGTATAAACATTTAAGATATACTAGAAATGTTATAAATGGTGTAAAGGTGACATTAAAAAAATATCTGAAGATGGTTGATACAAACCCACTACCAGTATAGTATGCTCCTTGCTTAATAACCAATTCGTGCACTGACCTACTCAGGAATGGAACCCCGTCATTAAGTGAGGAGAGGCTGTATTACCAATCACTTATGTCATCATCTGAACTTCATTTTTTTAATACGTTGGCCTCTCCAACTGAGGGCGATTCAAAAAAGGAGGGAAACTCATTCACCAGCATTCATTCAATAGCTGTCTTGCCAGAAGTATCCAGACATCAATTTAAAGATTCTCTAAACTGTAACATCCCCACCCCTCTCTCAGTGTGCAGGCACTATTTTTCCACCCCCAAGATTCAAGTCTAGCTAACTGGCCTCCACCAAATCCTTTCATATGTGTTACCTTGCTCACATATTAACAGCATGCTGGAATGTGAGAATCAAAGTTTAGATAAGAAAATCAAGTGGCATTCAATAAATCAGCTAATGTTGATCTAATATTTTAATTTACTACAACTTACCAAATCTGTTCATAATTTTGTACATCCATGATACTCCTTCACGGCAAGGTGTGCACTGGCCACAAGACTCATGTTTGTAGAAAGCAATGAGGCGTGCAATAGCTTTGACAATATCAGTCTGCTTATTCATCACAATAACAGCAGCAGTCCCAAGTGATGTTTGACAAGCCACCAAGCCATCAAAATCCATAATAGCCTCTTCACATACACTGAAAAAAAAAAAAAAAAAAAACATATTTGATACGCATATAAACTTTTTTTCCTCAACAAGTTGGATATCTCCCACAAAGGCAGGGTGACCCAAAAAGGAAACACTTTCACCATCATTCACACAATCACTGTCTTTGCAGAGGTGCCCAGATATGACAGTTTAGATGTCACTCCAAACAGCCAATATCCCAAACCCTTCTTTTAAAGTGCAGGCATTGTACTTCCCACCTCCAGAAAAGAAAAGAAGGATGGCAACAATATCACTTAAGAGGAGGAAATGTGAGATATATACAGGAGTCACTGTTTTAAAAAGATATTTTTTTTATGTAGCAGATTGAAAGCCCAAACAAATTATAGTTACAAGAATACTGAATTGCCTAGAAAACAGTAGTAAAGAAATTATTACTTTATGTTTACAAAAAAATAGGATTATGTTTAAAGCCTTTCATTGTATCTCGTGTAAATCCATGTCACTGAAGCTGGTGTCACTTGCATAGGTCTATACTCAGTGGCCGCTTGATTAGGTATGACCTTCTAGTACTGGGTAGGGCACCTACATTTGCCCCCAGAACAGCCTGAATTCTTCATGGCATGGACTGAACAAGATGCTGGAAATGTTCCTTAGGAGATATAAATCAATGCTGACATGATAGCATCATGCAACTGCTGCAGATTCATGGGCTGCACATTCATGCTGGGACTCTCCTGTTCCACCACATCCTAAAGGTGCTCTATTGGAATTAGAACTAGGAACTGGAGAGGCTATTGGAGTACTCTGAACTCACTGTCATGTTTGTGAAACCAGCTTGAGATGATGTGTACTTTGTGACATGACGTGTTACTCTGATGGAAGTAGCCACTGGAAAATGGGTAGACAGCAGTCATAAAGGGATGCACATGGTCAGCAACAATACTCAAGATAGGCTGTGGCATCTGAAAGATGCTCAGTTATTTTTTTTTTTTAATTAACACATTGGCTGATTCCCACCAAGACAGAGTGGCCAGAAAAAGAAAAATTTTCATCATAATTCACTCTATCACTATCTTACCAGAGGCATGCTTACACTACAGTTATAAAACTGCAACATTAACACCTTCAGAGTGCCAGCATTGTACTTCCATCTCCAGGAATCAAGTCTGGCCTACTGGGTTCCCTGAATCCCTACATAAATGTTACCTTGCTTACACTCCAACAGCACTTCAAGTCCTAAAAACCATTTGTCTCCATTTGCTCCTATCTAACACGCTCACACATGCCTGCTGGAAGTCCAAGCCCCTCGCACACAAAACCACCTTTACCCCCTCCCTCCAACCTTTCCTAGGCCAACCCCTACCCTGCCTTCCCTCCACTACAGATTTATACACTGTCTTCTTATGTTTTCCAAACCTGTAAATTTGACCATATCAATCTCTAGATTTCATTAACCTTTCACTTCCAAATACATACTCTCAATACTACTTTACAAAATAGATATTTTGAAAAGTATATTTTGAGGTATTTTCTAAAAACAAAAAAAGTGCTACAAAAAAATTTCATACATTAAAAATAAAAATTTTTACACATTAGCCAGAATTCTGCTGGTATCCAAATAACAGATTGACACCCTTTACCAGTGTTACATACTGTACATAAATTCAAGAGTAAATGGCTACACTTACTGCTTGGGAATGACTGGTGTAGATGAACCACCAGGAATCACACCAAGGAGATTATCCCATCCACCAGTCACACCACCTGCGTGACGTTCGATCAACTCTCGCAGTGGAATGGACATTTCTTCTTCTACTGTACATGGGTTGTTCACGTGGCCAGAAATGTTGAACAATTTTGTACCACTATTACGTGGTCGGCCAAACCCTACAAACCAGCTACCACCACGGCGACAGATAGCCTAAAATAAATAAATGAATAAATAAAATCAGTCAATAGCAGTGATCCTCAACCTTTCTACATTAATGGGTCACATCTGAGGGTCAAATGGGTGTAGAGGGCTGCATGGTTTTGTTGACACTGTGCAATGTGGAACCTACATAAAAGTGAATTCATAATTTCACGCGAGGGCCACATCCATTTCCTAGAAGGACCGCATGCAGCCCACAGGCCACAGGTTGGTGACCCCTGGTAGTAATTACTGCATTCAGTTAGTGAAGTAAATGCACAACTGACTGAACCTGCCATCAACTGCTACTACCCCTATAACTGTGGGAAACCACCACAAGGTCTGGTCATGGACCTGGCCATAGAGGCATTGACCCCTAGAACACCCTTAAGGCGGGTGGAAAGTACAGTGCCTGCACTCTAAAGGAGGGGTTTGGGGTATCTGCTGTTTGGAGAGACATTTGAATGTATTTGTGCACATCTGGCAAGACAATGACAGTGTAAATGATGGTGAAGATATTTCTTTTTCGGGTCACCATGCCTTGGTGGGAGACAGCCAGCGTGTTAAGAAAATATTCTTTCAACATGCTGGTCATCTCCCACCGAGGCAAGGTGACCAAAAAAAAGAAACACTTTCACCATCATTCACACAATCATTGTCTTTGCAGAGGTTCTCAGATACGACTATCTATAATCAATATATACTTACTCTCAATATCTGTAATCCTCTCACACATTAAACAATTCATTGTATCCTCTTTAGGCTAATAATCAAATCAGAGAAAAATTACAAACTCATTAAAGCCATATAGCATGAACTAATAGAATATTCAATTCATTTCATTGTAAACTCCGAAATTTACAATTCCACTTGCTTAAGTGACTGTATGCATGTACAAAATTACTCATATTGTTATTGCCTTATTAATCTTAGGTTAGTCATAAATTTGCCAAAAATGCTCTGCATTTGAAGGGGCATTCGGCATGTACATCCAAATATCATTCTCCTTTATACAGTGGTCCCTCGTTTTTCGTAGTTAATCCGTTCCTGGAGTTGCTACTATTATCGAAATCTACGATTTTCGAATCAATTTTCCCCATAAGAAATAATGTAAATACAATTAATCTGTTCCTGACACCCAGAAGTATTAAAACAAAAAATTTTTTTACATGAAATATAGATGTAGTACATAAACAATACAATGGGAAATGATGAATGAAACATTAACAGCATAACACTTACCTTTATTGGAGATTCTTCTTAGTGTATGGGAGACTGGAGGAGAGAGATTGGATTGTTTACAGTTTGGAAGGGGAATCCCTTTCCAGCAACACCTCAGGTACCAATTGCTTTTCTGGGGTTGCTTCTCTTCTCTGTTTCTTAATGCCACTAGGACCACCTTGAGAGTCACTGGAGTCCTGTCTCGCAAAATAACTGTGGAGAGAGCTCTGTATCTGGCATCTCTTTAACACTTCCCTAAAATGGCCCAAGACTTTGTCACTGTACATGTTGCCAACCTGGCTTGCAACAACCTTGTCAGGGTGATGTTTCTCCATAAATCTTTCCATCTTACCCCACAAAGCAAAAATCTCTTTAATTTCTGAAGAAGGCACCTTCTTCCATCTCTCTCCCTCCTCCTCTGCAGCAAGATTCTGAGCTGCAATCTGTTGCTGTTCCTGCTGAAGCTCTTGCAGCTCCTCAGTGGTGAGCTCTTTGTTGTGGTCTTCCACCAACTCTTCCACATCCTCCAAACTCACATCCAACCCCATGGAACTCCCCAGTGCCACAATTTATTTAACAACAGACATAGGCTCATCAGGGTCAGTCCCAAACTCTTCAAAATCCCTCTTGTCGACACAATCTGGCCACAATTTTCTCCAAGCAGAGTTCAAAGTCCTGGTAGTCACTCCCTCCCAAGCCATACCTATAAGGGTTATGCAATGGAGGATGCTGAAGTGTTCTCTCCAAAATTCCCTTAGGGTCAATTGAGTGTCTGTGGTCACAGTCAAGCACCTGTGAAACATTGCTTTGGTGTAGAGTTTTTTAAAGTTTGCAATGACCTGCTGGTCCATGGGCTGGAGGAGAGGAGTGGTATTCGGGGGAAGAACTTTACTGTGATGAACCCAAACTCCTCAAAAATTAGGTCATCCAAGTTTGGAGGATGAGCAGGTGCCTTGTCAATTACTAGGAGGCACTTGAGATCCATTTTCTTTTCCAGGAGGTAATTCTTCACACTAGGGCCAAACACTTCATTGAACCACTTGACGAAAATTTCCCTTGTGACCCATACCTTACTATTAGATTTCCAAAACACACACAATTTACTCTTCATAACACTGTTTTTCCTGAACACTCTGGGATTTTCAGAATGGTACACTAGTAATGGCTTCACTTTGAAATCCCCACTAGCATTAGCACAGAACATGAGCATCAGCCTGTGTTTCATAGGCTTGTGTCCTGGTATTGCCTTTTCCTCCTGTGTAATGAAGGTCCTCTTTGGCATTTTCTTCCAAAAGAGGCCTGTTTCGTCACAATTGAACACTTGTTCAGGTTTCAGTCCTTCAGCCTCTATGTACTCCTTGAATTCATGCAAGTATGAGAAACTTTTAGAGAGGCTGTGGTAGGTAAGTTTGGAGTGCCAGGTGTAAATGATAATGGGAGCCCTTTGATTGAACTAGGTATAGAAAGGGGTTTAGTTATAGGTAATACATATTTTAAGAAAAAGAGGATAAATAAGTATACAAGATATGATGTAGGGTGAAATGACAGTAGTTTGTTGGATTATGTATTGGTAGATAAAAGACTGTTGAGTAGACTTCAGGATGTACATGTTTATAGAGGGGCCACAGATATATCAGATCACTTTTTAGTTGTAGCTACACTGAGAGTAAAAAGTAGATGGGATACAAGGAGAATAGAAGCATCAGGGAAGAGAGAGGTGAAGGTTTATAAACTAAAAGAGGAGGCAGTTAGGGTAAGATATAAACAGCTATTGGAGGATAGATGGACATTATAATGAGAGCATAGGCAATGGGGTCGAAGAGGTATGGGGTAGGTTTAAAAATGTAGTGTTAGAGTGTTCAGCAGAAGTTTGTGGTTACAGGAAAGTGGGTGCGGGAGGGAAGAGGAGCGATTGGTGGAATGATGATGTAAAGAGAGTAGTAAGGGAGAAAAAGTTAGCATATGAGAAGTTTTTACAAAGTAGAAGTGATGCAAGGAGGGAAGAGTATATGGAGAAAAAGAGAGAGGTTAAGAGAGTGGTGAAGCAATGTAAAAAGAGAGCAAATGAGAGAGTGGGTGAGATGTTATCAACAAATTTTGTTGAAAATAAGAAAAAGTTTTGGAGTGAGATTAACAAGTTAAGGAAGCCTAGAGAACAAATGGATTTGTCAGTTAAAAATAGGAGAGGAGAGTTATTAATGGAGAGTTAGAGGTATTGGGAAGATGGAGGGAATATTTTGAGGAATTGTTAAATGTTGATGAAGATAGGGAAGCTGTGATTTCGTGTATAGGGCAAGGACGAATAACATCCTGTAGGAGTGAGGAAGAACCAGTTGTGAGTTTGGAGAAAGTTTGTGAGGCAGTAGGTAAAATGAAAGGGGGTAAGGCAGCTGGGGTTGATGGGATACAGATAGAAATGTTAAAAGCAGGTGGGGATATAGTTTTGGAGTGGTTGGTGCTATTATTTAATAAATGTATAGAAGAGAGTAAAGTACCAAGGGATTGGCAGAGAGCATGCATAGTTCCTTTGTATAAAGGCAAAGGGGACAAAAGAGAGTGCAAAAATTAAAGGGGGATAAGTCTGTTGAGTTAAGGTAGTATGTTGGTAGACAGCAACCACCCAGGGAGGTACTACCGTCCTGCCAAGTGAGTGTAAAATGTAAGCCTGTAATTGTTTTACATGATGGTAGGATTGCTGGTGTCCATTTTTCAGTCTCATAAACATGCAAGGTTTCAGGTATGTCTTGCTACTTCTACTCACACTTAGGTCATGCTACACATACATGTACAAGCATGCATGCATGCATATATATATATATATATATATATATATATATATATATATATATATATATATATATATATATATATATATATATATATATATATATATATATATATATATATATATATATATATTATATAACACACACACACACACACACACACACACACACACACACACACACACACACACACACACACACACACACACACACGTGTGGGGACACTACAAGAGAGAGAGGAGAGGATGAACCAGCAAGGCTGGACTTAGTATTCACCTTCAGTAGTGCAGATATCGAGGACATCACATATGAAAGACCCCTTGGGGCCAGTGACCATGTGGTTTTAAGCTTCGAATACACAGTAGAGCTACAAGTGGAGGGAGAAGCAGGAAGGCCAGGACGAATGAAGCCAAACTACAAGAAAGGGGACTACACAGGAATGAGGAACTACCTGAACGGGGTTCAGTGGGACAGAGAACTGGCAGGGAAGCCAGTTAATGAGATGATGGAATATGTAGCAACAAAATGCAAGGAGGCTGAGGAGAGGTTTGTACCCAAGGGTAACAGGAGTAATGAAAAAGCCAGGATGAGCCCATGGTTTACCCAAAGGTGCAGGGAGGCAAAAACCAAGTGTGCTAGGGAATGGAAGAAATATAGAAGGCAAAGGACCCAGGAGAATAAGGAGAACAGTCGTAGAGCCAGAAACGAATATGCACAGATAAGAAGGGAGGCCCAAAGACAATATGAAAATGACATAGCAGCGAAAGCCAAATCTGACCCGAAACTGTTGTACAGCCACATCAGGAGGAAAACAACAGTCAAGGACCAGGTAATCAGGCTAAGGAAGGAAGGAGGAGAGACAACAGGAAATGACCGTGAAGTATGTGAAGAACTCAACAAGAGATTCAAAGAAGTGTTCACAGAGGAGACAGAAGGGACTCCAGAAAGACGGAGAGGTGGGGCACACCACCAAGTGCTGGACACAGTGCACACAACCGAGGAAGA